CCCCCCCCCCTCCCCCCACAAAGAAAAAAAAACAACAACATTGTGAGTGTTGACGTTGAAGATTCCAGAAGTCAGAGCCTTCTGGCGCATTCGAGATCTGATTGTGTCTCAGGCGGGAATCCCTGTCGTCATCGCTGCTGCCGTTGGGGTGCTGTACCATGTCGACCACTTGCTCAGGCAAGCCTGAGGAAGGGGGAAAAAGGGGCTTCAAGAGAGTCCCCGTAATCACCTTTCCCTGAAATTAAACTGCCGATGCTATATATTATCTTTGCAGGCCTTAGGTGCAAGCCGACTTGTTGCAAGATGTTGCTATCGTGTTTCTCAACACCTTTCAGAACTGTTGATATATATTTTTGTTCTCTATTCACTATTCAGCCAAGGAACCCACTACTTGCTTTATTGTCATTACTAACATCGTTGTTGTCATTACTATCAATGTTCCCCCGCTACTTTCTGTGGCTACTATGTATTCGATCTTTTGCTCAGTACAGGTGTCCAAAGCACTCGCGGGCAAGCATGATAGCATCATAGCAGTGATAGCAACAGCGCCAAGTATAAGCATTCATAATCATGGTAGCAACAGCAGCTGCAACAGTGGTACGCATAGAATCTACTTTAGCGCTAGCCACGCCGTTGACCTTACGCCCCTCAACCCTAAACCCAAATTCCTGAGCCGGAAGCCCTGTATCCCTATTACAACCTTATTGAGCCCCCACTCACTTATAGTGACTGATAGGGGGAACGGTAATTATGTTGGGCTCCCTCTATTCTATTTCTATAGTACCACTGTATTCATGAGGTGGGGGACTACTCTAAGCTTAGCCCTAAACCGTGCCAGCTAAACCCTAAACCCTAAACCCTAAACTTTGGGAAAGGACCTTCTTCTGGTACCTTTTGATCAGCTTCCTGCTGGGCATTTCTGTCCCTTTTGGGCTGCTGCTCTCTGGCAGGGCCAGGGGCCCGGTCTGAGACTGGGGTTTAGGGTTAGGAATGGGTTTAGGGTTTAGGAATTTTGGGGTACAGGGCGGGGATGTAGAGGCTTAGGGTTAGGGCTTGGAATGAAGGTCTTGGGACTCAAGCTTAATGGCCATCTAGCGTTTGTCTTGAAGCAGCTGCAGCGTCAGAGACTTCGCGACAAATGCGGATGGCAAGGGGATGATGAGTGGATATTCTTTCCTATGGTAGGCCCCGAGCATCAGTACCTTCGGGCTTGCAAGATTATGGTACAGGCCTGTTTCTCTGACTGTGACGGTCTGGTGTGCCCGCGCGGGTGTAAGTCTGTGTTTTTGCAACTGAGAGCTTCGCAAGCCGGATGAGGCACCATGGTGGAAGTCACATGGGTCCAACAGTATGGGGCGTGGGTTATTATATGATTAGAGTGCAGGGCGTCACTACACCCTAAACCGTAATCCTGGAAAGGGTTTTTTCCTGGGCTTCCCTTTGGTCTTACATGCTTGAGCCCCTCAGCCCCGTTGCTTCAGAAAACCATGACTTCGTAAACAGAGGACCCAGACGGTAAACGTCTTTGTTGCTGGTGCTGGTAGCTGCTGTGATTCTTTGGCATTTCTCAGAGTTCCCTGATATGGCCACAACACAAACCAACTTCATCCTTGCAATGTCAATCCCCTTCCCCTAAACCCCAAGACCCTATGTGGAACCTCATCAAAGCCTGCTTCAAAACGAAAGGGCTCCTTTAATGTTCCATGTTAGGTGAGGGGCCAGCAAGCCCTAAGCTCCAAAGTCCAGTTGGCAGTGCTTAATCCAGGCAGGAGAAGTGGAACCAAGGCTTTACGACTTAGTCTGGAATACCAATTCCTACACACTTCTTTACGGTTGGGTCCCTGACCGCTAGATTTTATATAGGTGCAAAAAACTGAGCCCTCACCTAAAACCCTGAAACCCCCAAACCCTGAACCCAAACCCACAAGACCTAAACCCTAAACCCTAAA